CTAAGGGTCTATCAGTTAGCACTTATGTTTTAAAAATGAAGAGCTATATTAATCACCTTGAGAGGCTTGAATTTCCCTTAAGCCAGGAGTTGGCTACAGATTTGATCTTGAACTCACTCCCAAAAAGTTATGACCAGTTTGTTATGAACTATAACATGAATGACATGGAGAAATCCATTTTTGAACTACATGGGATGCTTAAAACTGCTAAGTAAAACATTAAGAAAAAGCCTAGCACTATTTTGATGGTTCAAAAAAGAAAGGGTATAAAAAAGAAAGGCAAAGGCAAGGGCAAGGGAAAGGGTAAAGGCTCAGATGGTAAGACTAAAGAGTCGACCAAGCCCGAAACCAAGCCTCCAGCCAAGAAAGCAAAGCCTCCAAAGGAAAGAGTTTGATTCTTTTGCAATGAACTGGGTCATTGGAAGGGGAACTACAATCTCTACCTAGAAGATCTGAAAAAGAAGAAGGATAGCAGGGCTACTCCTTCAAGTATTTATATTATAGATATTCACCTTTCTACTTCTTTTGCATGGGTATTAGATACTGCATGTAGTTTTCACATTTGTACAAATGTGCAGGGTGATAGAACACATTTGTTACCCACTTTTATTTGTCAATTAGGATCCTTTTATTAATGATTTATTACCTTCAAGTGTATACATTACATTAGATTTAGAATTTTGCCTAAGTTTCTAGGTTTAGTGCACTAGGGGTATTTTGGTCCAAATTGACAAAGTATATTTTATGTCCAGTTGATGAGTGGTGAAATTATATTTTTAAAATTCATTTTTAGTTTGGGATTAATTAAATAAAAAGTCAATACTTTCTTAAAGTCTAAGTTTGACTTAGTTTTTGGTTCGTCTTTGTGTGAAAATTTTTATATAATTTTGTGTAGCCTGAAACTTGTTTATTTTAATTAATTCTCCCTTTTAATTATGAATTTAATTATGCATATTAATTGAATTTTATTATATCACATGCTATTTAATTGAATTATGTGATTTATGTGACATAGATGGCATGTGACTTGTACATCAATTGGGCAATTGAGGTCAACACTCCTTAAGTTTAATGGCTTATCATTTGCACGTGAATTATGATTATTGTGAGAGATTAAATCAGCTTAAAGATGTGGATGACACATGAAAAATTAGGCACACATTGGAATAATCTACAAACCAATAGGAGGGTGCCACCTTGCAAGTGTGACAAGGCTCCTATTTTCTTTTTATTTTCTTTTTCCAATTTTTAATTGATTATTTAGCTGACGGGAAACACTTAGAAGCACATCAATTCAGCCCCAATTCAGATCCAACACTCATTTCATTCATCTTCCACATTTTCTCTCTCTTGTTCATAGTATTCTTCATTTTTTCTCTTTTGTTCTTCATTTTCTAGCACCCTAACCTCCATTTTCAGCCACTAAACCTCCACAAAACTCACACCATTCTTTCCTCTATTCATTTTCGTTCCATCCCTTCTTATTTCACAAGGTTCTAAGCTCATTTTCTTCATCCCAAGTTCCACGAATTTCGATCGACAAGCTTCCAACTTAGGGCTATTGAAGATGATGAAGATTGGCTAAGTTTCTTGGTGGAATCCTAGAGAGATAAAGATGGAGTATGAGTCTTGAGCTTTAAATTGGCTAAGTTCTTTTGTTTCCTATCCTCTTCTCTTTTACTAGATGGTTAGATTCCTTAATCTACGGTTTAATCATCTTAGCTTGAAAATTCTAATTTGAATTTGATGTTGATGTAAAGAGAGAGGATTGTTTCATTTAATTTCTTCCTTGGACAGCTATGACTGAATTTTGCCACTCTTTGTTTGGCACATAATCTTGTGTTTTTCAATTAGTGAATTACTTGTGTTAATATTACATAATCTTATGGTGTTAATGCTTATGTTGTTAAGTAGCTTGACATAATCTTATGGTTACTCACATTATTGTTTTGAATGTGGCTGTTAAGAGGATATTTTGAGTGAATCACTTGGCTAATTTTTACACCAATTGATTAATTAAAATAGGGACTTTAATTTAAGACCTAGGGAAGTTAGCTAATTAGGTTAATTGGCTTAAGATAATTTTTTCAAGTCATGATAGCTTTAGTCAAGAGGAAAGGGAGCTAAACTTAGCCTAATCATGAGAAGATAATAAGTCTAAAATCAACTAATCTTTAAGCTTCCACTCTTGTGAAAAGGGAAGTTCATTTCACTCACTTTCACTAGCATTTTAATTACTTGCACATTAGGTAATTAGTTTAGATAATTAGCTAAGTAACTAAATTCCTATAAATTTTGGTTGATTTATTTCACTAGATAACTTTCAATTAAACTTAAAATCATTCCTTGGAAGATGACCTAGGGTTAACCCTATATTACATTAGGGTTATCTTTAGTTTAATTTTGAGGATAAGCGACTAATTTCCTATCACAGGGTATTAGAAAGAGTAGAAAGTTGATGAAGGGCAAAGTAGACCTACGAGTTGAAAACAGAGCAAGAGTTGCTACTTTAACTGTAGGCACTTATGAATTACTTTTACCCAGTGGGCTTTTGTAAGTTTTGAACAATTGCTATTATGTTCCTGCTTTGAGTAAAAACATTGTTTCTCTTTCTTATTTAGATAAGGAAGGTTTTACTTCCATTACTGGGAATGGTAAATGTTCTATTTATTGAAATGACATTTTTTATGCTAATGGTGATTTGCATTTTGGTCATTATCCTTTAAATCTGGAGCATCCTAGTAATAAAGACATCTATAACGTAAGTAACAAAAGGATCAAATCGAATGATTTGAATGCAACCTACCTATGGCATTGTCATCTCGGCTATATAAATGAGAAACACATTTCTAAGCTCCATCAAGATGGACTTCTCAACTTATTTGATTTTGAATCTTATGACACTTATGAATCTTGTTTATTAGGAAAAATGACAAAAGCATTTATTACTAGGCATAATGAAAGGTCTAATGACTTATTAGGACTTATACATATAGATGTATGTAGACCAATGAGTATAACTACCAAAGGGGGTTATCTGTACTTCATTACCTTTATTGATGACTACAGTAGATATGGATACATCTACCTAATAAAACACAGATCTGAATCTTTTGAAATGTTCAAAGTATTCCAAAATAAAGCACAAAATTAACTTGGCAAGACTATCAAAACTCTTTGATCTGATCGAGGAGGTGAATATTTGAGCCAAGAATTCATTGATCATCTCAGGAGTTGTGGGATAGTCTCCCAATTAACTTCTCCAGCAACACCATAATGGAATGGTGTTTCTGAGCGGAGAAATCAAACACTATTAGATATAGTTCGATCCATGATGAGTCAAGCAGATCTTCCACCATCCTTTTAAGGACATGTACTAGAAATAACTGTATTCATATTGAACCGTGTTCCATCTAAGGCAATTGAGAAGACACCATATGAGATATGGACTAGGAAGAAACCTAGTTTATCTTTTCTCAAGATTTGGGGAGGTGAGGTTTATGTTAAGAAACAAGCCTTAGACAAGTTAGCACTCAAATCCACAAAGTGCCTTTATGTAGGGTATCCTAAAGAAACAAAGTGATATTATGTCTACAATCCCACTAATAACAAAGTGTTTGTAATTTCAAATGGTATCTTTCTAGAAAGAGAATTTATCTCTAAAAGAACTAGTGGGAGCAAGATACATCTTGAAAAAATTCAAGAACCACAAAATAGCACAGAGTCACAGATGGAAAACTAAGAAGACTCACAAGAAGTAAATGAGCCTACTCAAATACCACAAGGTCCACGAAGGTCTGATAGAATATGGTATCATCCTCAAAGATATGGATTTCTAATTAATGAATGTCGTGATGTGTTACTCATTGAACACAATGAACTAACCACTTACCAAGAAGCCATAGTGGGACCAAATTCTGAGAAATGGCTAAATGCTATGAAGTCTGAAATGCAATCCATGTATGATAATAAGGTATGGACCTTAATCGATCCACCTGAAGGAATAAAAACCATTAGGTACAAGTAGGTTTTTAAGGAGAAAACTGACATAGATGGCAAAGAAAATGTCTTCAAGGCACAATTAGTTAGAAAAGGATTCACCCAAACCCATGGTATAGACTATGATGAAACCATTTCACCGGTCGTAATGGCTAAATCAATCAGAATCCTCCTTACTATTGCAGCATATTATGAGTATGAAATATGGTAGATGGATGTTAAAATAGCATTCCTTAATGGACGTCTACTTCAGGAAGTGTACATGACACAACCTGAAGGTTTTATGCGTCCAAAGGACTCTAGAAAGGTATGCAAGCTTTAAAGATCTATTTATAGATTGAAGCAAGCATCTCGAAGCTAGAATCAACGTTTTGATGAAGTAATCAAGAATTTGAATTCATTCAAAACATTGATGAACCTTGTGTTTATAAAAGGGTTAATGGCAATATAGTTATATTTCTAGTGCTATATGTAGATGATATCATACTCATTGGGAATGACATTCCTACCTTGCAGAATGTCAAGTCTTAGTTAGAAAAATCTTTCTCTATGAAGGACTTAGGTGAAGCCACTTATATCCTTAGGATTAAGATCTATAGAGATAGATCCAAAAAGCTGACAGGCTTAAGTCAAAACATATACATAGACAAGATACTGCATAGGTTTAGTGTGCAAGATTCAAAGAGGGGTTTCATCCCCATGTCTTATGGCATTCATCTCAGTAAAAGCCAGTGTCTTAGTACATGAAATTAGTGAGATGACATAAGTAAGGTTCCATATGCTTCGATAATTGGATCTATCATGTATGCCATGCTGTGAACTCAACCGAATGTTTTATTTGCCTTAAGTATGACCGACAGATACCAAGTAGATCCAAGAAAGGATCATTGGACTGCTGTCAAGAATATCCTAAAGTACTTAAGAAGAATTAAGGTTTTATTCTTGGTATATGGCGGATTGGATGACAAGCCAATTGTAACAGGTTACATAGATGCAAGCTTTCAAATTGACCAAGATGACCTTAAATTGCAATCAGGATATGTGTTCACCTTAAATGATGGGGCAGTGAGCTGGAAGAGCTCAAAGCAGAGAACAACAGCTGATTCTACAACAGAAGCTAAGTATATAGCAGCATCAGATACAGCTAAGGAAGCCGTTTGGATCAAGAAGTTCATTGCTAAACTAAGAGTGGTGCCTAGCATCTTAGATCCAATAAACTTGTTCTGTGACAATAGTGGTGCAATTGCATAGAGTAAGGAGCCAAGGTCACACCAAAAGACCAAGCATATACTCAGGCGTTTCCACCTTATCAGAGATATCAATGATAGAGGTGATATAAAAATATGCAAAGAAGTAGGAGAAGACAATGCTGCCTTGTACTTAACGAAATATCGAGTGACAAAAGGGATGTGATATGGTTGCATGATAGGTTACATTAGATCATCAATCCCCATGTGAATTGGGTAGTTGCAATATCCTGCTAGAGGCCACTTGTGACTTGTGGGCTAATAGCGTAATTAGCCTATTGCCAATTTTATATAGGCCTATAAGATCGCACATAAGAATAGCTCAACTCGAGCTATAATGTCCAAGTTCATTAAATCTAGAATATGTCTAGATTCAATAAATGTAATATAGGGTGAATGAATTTTAGATATATATATATATATATATATATATATTTGAATATTTATTTGATAAATATATATATATATATTTATATTTATATGAAATATAAATTTAAAATATAATTATATATATATACATATATTTTTCAAAATATATATATATATATATTTATATATATATATATATTCATTTTCAAAATTAAATATATAATATATATAATATATTTTCAATTTCATATGACATGATATATGTATATGATATATAAAATTATATATATATATATATATATATATTTTCAAAATATATATGTATATATATATTTGTATATATATAATATAATATGTATATGTGATATATATTACATTACATTATATTATATTATGTTATGTTAGTTTTAAATTTAATTTCATATGATAGATTAAATTTAATAACTAACATGATATGGGAGAATATCATGTCAGTTTTATAATTTAAATTTATAAGATAAATTTGAATTAGATATGATATCATGGATTAAATTTATGAGATAAATTTAATTATGTTTTCGTGGGCTTTTTAAGTAGAAGACGAAAACCTTTATCTATATACCATATATAGATAGGAATGTCCTTTATGAAGGAAGAAAGAGTTAGAAAAGTTCTGACAGCAAAAACACTTTGAGAGCCACAAAACACCCTATAGAAAGGAAAAATAATGTTCAAAGAAGAACGAACGCTAGGAGCACTAGTACACTGTTTGAGTTAGAAAACTATTCATGGATACCGGTTGAGAGAGCAGATCTGCATGGTCAGCTCTCGAGATCCAAACTCTTGAAGAAAATATGCGCCAAGTTTAAAGAATTAAAAGGTAACTCTTCTATCTACCTTGATTTAAACGAGTTCGTTCAGTCTATATCAAGATAGGGACTTTAAAATTTTAATCTTTCACTGTGCATCCCTATCCAACAATAATTACATGCTAGGTCAATATAAGACATTCACCAACTGAAATCACATATTACAATGTAAAGTCACAAGGTGGACAAAATTCCACCAATAAAAAAGAAAATAAAATTCAAGTCAACAATCTTGTTTCAACACCAATAATTATGACCAACCATAAAACTAAAGTCAAATTGAATTACAATCAATCCTAATCATAGTATTCTAATGAAATTGAAACAAGATGAAGAAATAGTTGAACTTAGCTAAGTGAAGACTTCAAAGCTCTTCTTCCATCAACTCTCTCTTAGAATTCCATGGAGGATCTGGTTGGAAAACATCAAGAACACTTTTATTCCTCCATGAACTAGATGAATTGAGTTTCAAATCTCCTTCTAGTACTTAAGGTTTAGTCAGTCATGAGAAGAGAAGAGAATGATGAAAGAATTGAGTGAATTTGATGGTGAAAAGTGAGAGAAATGGGTGCTAGATGTGCTATATGTGTAGAGAGACAGGGGAGAAAATGAGCAACACTATGAACTAAAAAGAGAAAATATAAGAGATGAATGAGATAAGGTGAATGATCTCAATTATGTGTGAAATGGCATGAATTGTAGTGTTTTCCCTCAACTGAAGCTCAATTAAAAACAAGAAGAGAAAATAAAAAGGAATATTAGAACCTTATCACACTTACAAGGTGGCACCCTCTTATTGGCTTCTAGATGATTTCAATGTGTGCCCAATTAGTCTTATATTTCATCCACATTTTTAACTAATCTAAACCATCAAATAAAATCCCATTCATGACTCTTGCTTCAGCTTTGACCTCAAGGATTGTTGACTTTAATTGCCTAATTGATGCAGAAGTCACATGTCACCTATGTCACATAAATCACATAATTCAATTAAATAATATGTGACATTATAAAATATAATTAAAGCCAAAAATTAAATTCATAATTATAAGGGATAATTTATTAAAATAACTAAGTTCTAGGCTATATAAAATTATTTAAAAATTTTCACACAAAAGTAAATTGAAAACTAAGTCAAACTAGGAAACTTAAGAAAGTATTGACTTTTTATTTAATTACTCCTAAAATAAAATAAAATTTAAAAATATAATTTGACCACTCATCTTCTGGATATAAAATGCACTTTTTAATTTTTCTTGTATATTTTCCCAAAAGTTCATTTTTTGGACCAAAATACCCCTAATGAACAAAACCTAGACACTTAGGCAAATTTTCAAATATAATGCAATGTGTGTGTACTTTGACTAATAAAACCTTAATAAATAGTCCTAATTGATATAGACAAGTGTGTAACAAATGTGTTCTATCAGTGGCTATTTGCAGCTTGTGACATATATCCTCATCGGTCGTCACATCAAATAGGGCAATGTGCTGTTTGTTTTCGGGTCCCATCTTCTCTAATAATCTCTCAACTTTCCACTTCGTATCATTACTATGCTAGAGGTATATGGAATAGACAAAAAAGTCATTAAATCTGTAGATAAATTCTTCCTTATCCAGGTCTCCCTGCCTGAATGCATGAAATTCCTCTTCTTTCTCTATTCCAAATGAGACTAGGAAGTACTAGTCAAAGAAAATTATTTTAAATTCTTCCCAATTCAGACGGCACCACTTATAGGTCTCACAGATTCCCACCATCTTTTTGCAGTTCTTATTAACTGAACTGTGGCTAGGATCACTTTTTGTTCTCATGTACAAACCATAACCTCAAAAATGGTCTCTTACCACTCAATCCATAATTTAGCCTCCCCTTCCTTCATACTACCATCAAATGTTAGTGGGTTAAACTGAACAAACATCTTTCAAGCCTGATCTATTGATGGATCAGTGCCAGAAACCTCCAGTCTATTACCCAAACCTTGAGATGGTCCAAGTCTGCTTTGTGCTTCCTTTTGTATCAGTCTTTCTTGACCTTCAACTCTATCCTCTTCTCTACCTCTTAAAATTGTATCATGGTCTTGAATAGTTTGCCTTATATCCACCATCATGTTTCTTAATTCTTCAAGAAGTTCATCCTACCTATCTCTCAATAGTGGCTTAGCTAGTTGTATTTCTAGCTCATATTCCTCCTTATTTACTAGTCTAGAATAAGCATTTCTAGCACAAATACCTCTTCTCATGATAAAATACCTTTTCTCCCCTCATAAGGAGTAAAATAATAAGAGAAAGTGAGCACAAGGGAAAGATTTGTATAATAAATAATGAAAAGTTGCCATAGCTGAGAATGAATATAGCAAAGAATTGATGCAAAACTTGAGAATCTGATACCATATTGTAATCCCTCATTATACCAAATTGTTTTCTCTAAAACTAATCTGGGTACAAAAAGAGATTAACTAAATTATCACAATACTACAACAAACTATAAACCAAGAGAACAATTTGAAAAGTTTGGGCCTAAGACTTTGTTTGATAAAATCATTCGAAAACAATTACACAATATGCAATGCACAATGAAAGACAAATGTTTGCATTCAACACTCTCAAATTATGTAAGAAAGTAAAGAAATAAGGTTAAAAATTTAGTCATATGCCATAGTGTGTACCACATGCACCACAGCATGTGATATGTAACATCCTAAAATTTTTGATCCTTACATTACTACTAATTAAGGGTGAATTAGTAAATTAATGTGAGATTAGAGTTGGAATGGTGAAATGTTATTTTGACTCTTTGGGATGTTATATGAACAAATTAGTGTGGGAGGACGACATTGTCAAGCAGAGCGTATGAGCACGATAAGGAGTTTCCTCATTGTGCCACACATCACGATTAGTGCTGGATGTGCCGTGGCTAACGATGCAGAAACTTAGTAGATAAGGACGTGTATTAGCTCGAGAAATAGAGAGGTAAGTAAAGAAAGAAGGATGAGAGGGGGAGAGAGGAGAGGAGCTCTGTTAGGGCAAGCAATATCAGAAGCAAGGATGATATTTCTAACCTGTTACCTATTAGGTAAGTTTGGTACTGCTTTAACCTCTAATTCTACCCTATTTTCTCTTAGTTTAAACTAGTAAGAAATTAAATTTGGAAATTTTAAGGAGTTGAATTCTTACCCTATAGTAATAGAAAGGTTCTCTGGGACTAAATTAAAGCTTTGTGACTAGTTTAAATCTGAATGATAAAGCTTTGAAGCCATAGGCTCAAGTTACCCTAATTTAGAGAGAGAAAACTAAAACAAATTTGATAGTGGGTGTGTTAATACCTGAATTAAGTAGTGACTGGGTATAAAAGATAAGAATGGATGTGAAAAGAGCATGAATAGCAGTTGATTGCTATAATTGGCTTTCAGTTAATAAGATAATTGACCCTGGATACCATTAATTGTGTATATTTTTGTAAAGTCCCTACTTGTAAGGTCTCCTTTACTAAACCATGTTTAATTCTAAAATCAAGGTAATCAAGGGATTAACCCTCAAAGGATTTCCAAAGCCGCAAGGTTTCATGAAAAGAAGATTACTCAAATCATTTATAATGGAATCCCAAATTCAATATTTCAAATCTCTATTAATACTTATTATGTTCAAATCAGAATTTAAAAATAGTGCAGAAATTTGAAAATCAAATGGAACCCAAAACCATGAGTTTTAAAGCTCAAAACTGGATTTTATGTAGAAAACAACACATGTATTGTAGCTTGT